GGTGGATAATGAGTGTGTTTTCTGTGGTTTCCCTGAGTCTCGTGATCATCTGCTTTTCTCTTGTATTTTCTCCTAGAGGATATGGGAGGGGGTGTTGGGGTTGTACAACATCCATCAACAGGTTGGGGATTGGAACTTTGTGTTGGGTTGGACATGCTCGATGTTGAAAGGTAAATCGTTGTTTTCTTACATATTAAAGATAACCTGAAGTACTCACTTATATTTTGTTTAGGTGGAAAGGAACTGCAGGATTTTTCAAGGGTGTGATTGTAACATCCTCACTACCGGGTTAGTGATCAAATTGTAAAGTTTCAGAATTTGGTGACTAGAGTAGAACCATGGATTAGTTCAATGATTTATTTGGAAATAAATCATAAAAGTTATTGGTAATTATTAAATGAAGTAAAGGGTAAAATAGTCAATTGACAAGGAAAGATATTTTCTCCCCTTTATTAGGAGATTAACACGTGGGGGAGAAGAAGATGAAAACTCTCTTCTTCTTCACTTGCTTTCTTCTTCTCCAACGTGCTCAAGCTAGGCAAAGGTGAGTTTCTTTATTTGTTGATTATTAGCTGAAATTTAAGGTTGAGTTTTGATTATTAGGTGATAATTAAGCATAAGAAGAGCTTAAATTATCTTGAAATAATAAGATGAAGAGAATAGATGGGATTAAAGAAAAGAGAGGAATAAGTGAAATCTTGAAAGAGGGTTCTTTAATGAGGTTTTTGAGTGAATTTGACTTGTCATCAATCTAATTAACATGTATGAAGTATTAGAATTGGATTTGTAACATGTTAAAATTTGGGTATGATTCTTGAATTTCTTAAGAAGAATAGGATATGGAGGTTAAAGAAGTGATTATTGAGTAGAAATGAGGGCAAAAATGTATATGTAAGTAAGGAATATGAAAGGGGATGAAATGTGAAGCATTTGAGTTGAATTAAATGGATTTTCGGGCTTAAAATGCAAATTCTGGGCAAAGTGTATTGATGCACATTGAATGTGCATCGATGCACTCTTTAAAGAAGAAACATCGAATGCAAATGGTGCATCGATGCATAAGGAGTGCATCGATGCATCCCTTTAAAATGAAAACATCGAAGGTAATTTGTGTATCGATGTATGGGTAGTGCATCGATGCACATGTTAAAGAATGCATCGATGCACTGTAGAATGCATCGATGCACTTCAAGGGGAAATTGAAATAGACATTTCTTCTGGTCTAAGAAATGATAGATTAGATTATAACAATGGGATACTGATATGTATCAATGTATAATTATGTAGATATCGAACAGGAACAAGTTCCAGGTTGTGTATCAAGTTAAGATTCGATCGGAAGAGAGGAAATCATAAAGTGGATTGAAACTTAGTGAGGCCAAGGTGAGTGCACATTATTTAGTATATGATGTTAAATGAAAAATAAGACTTATGATAAGTCTATTTCCAATAGTAAAATGCATGAATTCATAGAGGTATGTGTTTGTTATGATTTATATGTGAGCATGAGTATATGTGTTATTGATATGATTCTATGATCATAGGATGTAAATTATGTGATAAGTGATAAGTGACTATATGGAATTATATGAGAACAAGAGATGACAATGATTTACATGTCATATGAAAACCAGAGAAGTGTTATAAGCAAAGTGACATATATGTGATAAATGAATGATATGAAAAGTGAGATAAACAAAGTATGGTTGATATAGGGTAATATAAGAATAGCTCATAGGTTATATGATAAAGATGGAACCATATAGGAACATTAATTGAGTACTTGAATGTGACTAAGTGTGAATTGATATAAGTATGTGATATGAAGTTATGGGTATATGTGTTATATGTTACATGATATGACATGCGAGTTACATGAACAAATGAGAAAAGATATAAGTCATATGAAACGATCTACATGAATACATGCACTTGTGATACATGTGATATGATATGAGATATATGGTTACACATACATGTGGTATGTGACAGAAGAGAAATAACAAGTGATATGAAATGTTATAAATGATAATGCCCATGTTATGTGATATGAGAGCTAGGGGTATAGTTGGCATGCCAAGAGTCGAGGGTTTACCTATGTCTTTCGAGACATATGGACAGTTTACCTAGGTTCTTCGGGACCTATGAACAATTTACCTAGGTTCATCGGGACCTATGGACAGTTGCCGAGGTTCTTTATGACCTCTGGATAGTTACCGGGGTCTTTGTGACCTCTGGATAGTTCCTTCGGGACATTTATACGAGCTGTGGTGACATCATAGTGGTGCACAACCTCAATAGACTCACGTATCTACAGTTCCCACATGTGTACCATGGGCTAATAAAGAGATAATATTAATAAACTGGATATGATGATATGTTTATTTCCTTATGAAAGGTTATGTGTGATATATGATGGTACAAATGGTAATTATAAGATTATACGATAAAAGGAATCAATGATAGTGATAAGAATGAAGATGATGATATAATTGCTTGTGTGTTTGATTTACGATAGGATATATGTTTTACATGACATGATATATATATATATATATATATATATATGTTATATGGTATACGTGAGTACCTGTTAAGGTATATGTGAATGAGTATAATTGATTGACATGATGATATAATAACAAGTCTATCAGATATATAATATGGACATAAAAGATCATAGGAACAGGAGATAAGAGATATGAATGATAATAACAGTATATGAGTTGTAAGAAATGATTACTAGTAAATGTTTACATTATATGTTTATTGCCTCACTAAGTCATAAACTTAGCGTGTGATTGTTTCACACGTAGGTTACAGAAGTGAGAAGAGTAAAGAGTAATGTGGAGCAAGACAAGTCAGTTCCTCTTACCGAAGGTCAGATCAGAAGAAAGATGAATAATATGTATGTTAACAACTAAAGTTTTAGTTGGCATGTATTCAAAATAATGTATTGTATAAGCTCTGAATAGTTTTATAAACGTTTTGAATAAGTTATATGTTATAAAAAGTTTTAAATTATTCACTAATTTTGTACAAGCAAAAGTTTTGAAAAGTCAATGTGATACCTCAGACTCGGATTCGGGTCGGATATGAGTTGGGGGTGTTACAATGATAGATCCGTTGAGGTGGTTTTGAGTCAAATTAAAGAAGTGGTTAGTGTTAAGTTTAGTAAGAAGAGCATTGATAATGCTCAATTGTGTGCTGACTGGGGTATTTTGGCTTAGTTTGTAGGGTGAGACTGTCTTGTTATTGAAATCTGGTTGCGTTTTGTTGATTTGTAACAGTCTTAACTACTTTCTTTTGGGTAAAACAAGAAAAATTTATCCAAAAAATAATAATAATGTGATATGTTATATTAATAAAAAAGTTTACAAAAAAAATAATGATGTGGTATGACATATCAAATTAATATATTTATTTAATATTATATAAAAAATATAATATTTATGCTAAAATATAAATTAGGGGTTTTAAATTTTTAAACTATTTTTAAATCTCATCTTTAAAATTTATAACCTTAAACTTTAATATTGGTAAACTTTCTCATTATTGATGACCTTTATCATTGATGTTATTCATGTTGTTCGTTTTTACCCCTCCCTCTGACCTTCAATCAGTGTCAGGGGCATTAATGAAGGCAGGTGAGAGTGTGATTTTGCATACGACGGTGAAATGACAATTGAGAAGTAGAAGGCTACTCAGATTTTAGTTGGTGTCAGAGGTATCAATGGGGCATGCAATGGCACGATGTTGTAGACGACGTTGAAAGCGTTGTCAAGACGAGGCTCAATAGATGGCAACGAGGTTGCTAAGGTTTTTGAACTGATTTTAAGGGGGTGTTTGGATTGGGGGATGTGGGATTTCCATGGGAATGAAATCCACATTCCTCCGTTTGGTTAGCCCGGGAATCCCATTCCCGGTAATATAAGATTATCAATAGTGGATTTTTTGGGGTATATTACCGGGAGTGTCATTACCTCCTTTTTCTTAGGTATTGTTGGATTACAGGTGTTTTGGACTAAAATGTCCTTAATTTTTTTTTCTTTCAAAAATATCATTCTTCTGTCATTGAATAATAAAAATTATATGAAGGTTAAATTATAAATTTATTCTTAAACTATTTTAGATTTACAAAAAAGTCTATAATTAAAATTTTATATGAAGTTCAGGGGTTAAAAAAATTTACCCTTTCATTAAACCTTTTTATATTTTTAATTTTGTAAAAAAATTATATAAATTTTATGAATTTAATTTTTTTAAAGAAAATATATAAATATTTTCCAACTTGTTAAAAAAACAAATATATAATAAGGACAATTTGGTTAAATATACATTCCAATAATCTTTTATTCTTTTAACCAAACATGGTAATCTTACATTGGTGCTTAACCAACCAAACACAAAATACAACATTCCCAATAATCTTATTCCCTGATAATCTTACATTCTCACTGGTAATCTTACATTCCGTGAACCAAACGCACCCTAAGAGTTCGACGACGAGACTGCTTAGATTTTTATCGACAACAAACAATTTACCCTCAATATATATTTTAATATAAGTATTATATTTTGTCATAGAATACTAAATCAGTCGGTTGATAATTCCTAACTTAGATTCGGATTCGATTAATTTTATTTAATTTAATTTATTTCATTCACAATATTAATATTTAAATTCATAGATTTTCTTAAATAATTTAACATCTCATCTTATTATTATTGATATATATATTAAATAAAATATTCATTGCGAATAATAATAATTAATCTCATTATTTCGAGTACTCCTTCAATATACAAACGACTAACCACATAATACAACATATGGCCCAATTCAAATAGTATGATCAACGGGCCTAATAAAAGTACGGCCCAGTGTTGACTAATTCTCTTAACTAAGCCGTGGTCAAAACCAAAATCTCGTCACACGTGTGTCCTTTAGCCTGCTTCCCAAGTTATTGCATGGCAAATAGTAACTGCCAAACAGAAACGATTCCCATTTTCTCTCCTTCGCCAACTCTTCGTTTCCATTGCTGCTGCTGATCTAAGGAACTAAGAAAATGAGAAGCTTCAATTTCTTCGGTAGATTTTATAGCGCTTTCCATGACTATCCTTCTCTTTCCAAAATCATAGCCGTCTCTACAGTCAGGTGCTATGCTGTGCTCAAATCATTTTTACGAATCTGTTGTTTTATTTTATTTTATTTAGTTCTCCGTGTTATTTCTTCGAAGCGCATGCAGCATGCACTCCTTTTTTTGTTTTATTTGAGATTTCTGGAATCCAGTAAGCATTGATTTATTCGTGTTCTCATTGCTTTCATTGTGAGTAAATTCACTCTGCAATTTTCTAACTGGTCTATTATCGGTGAGTAGATTTGATATATTCGTGATTTAAATGCGTGAAAGTTTGGATTTCTTTAAATGCTTCTGTCAAAACTCGTAAAATTGAGCAACTCTACTTGGAGTACTAGGAAATGTCGTTTCTAAATCGTCGTCGTTTGTAGAGTCAGGTCCTCTGCGCTATTCAATCACAATTTCTATATATAATTGTATTTTATGAATATACGTTTTTATTTTATTTGAATTACTTTGTTTTGTTCGTCTTTTTTAAAGATCGTGCAAAGTGCACGTCTTTTCTCTTATTTTGGTTGCAATTCCTTGTATCGTTAAAGCATTGATTTCTTCATGTTCTCATTGCTTTCACTGTGAGTAAATTATCTCATGCATTTTTCTCGGATCTATCTTGATTGCCAGTGAGTTGATTTGATATTCAAGATGAAAATGCATAAAAGTTTGGATTTCCTTAAATGCTCAGTCAAAATAGTTTTAATGATTTGTCGAGAGAGAATTTGTAGTGATTAGTGAATAACATGAACTGAGATCTAAGCTCTTCATTTTTTGCTGAGACTAGTGCTATCGTAATAATCTAAATTAGCAAAATGTAGGTGAGTAGAAAGATGATCTTCATGGTTCTCGTTTTGTCTTTGAGCTAAGCCTGTGTTTCTTGCGTAGTGGCGGGAGCCTTATAGCTTATGCCGAGGCAAACACAAACAATGGCAATAGAGGCCATGTTGCTCATGCTGATGCAATCACATCAAATAGTATTGCCCATGCTGATGCAAACACGTCCAAGAAGAAAAAAGTGGTGGTGCTCGGAACTGGTTGGGCAGGAATAAGTTTCTTGAAGAATCTCAATAACCCTACTTACGAGGTGAAAGTTGTATCTCCTCGTAATTTCTTCGTCTTTACCCCATTGCTACCTAGTGTTACTTGCGGTAAGGTAGAACCTCGAAGCATTGTTGAGCCAATTCGCAACATCATCAGAAAGGTAACACATTGGACTGAAAATAAGATGACCTATAATGTGACATCCATTATAAAATAATGCTGAAGATTGTTTTCTTCTCATGATTGAGCAGAAAAATCTTGACTTCAGTTATTGTGAAGCTGAATGTACTAGGATAGACCCAGCAAATAAGAAAATTTACTGTCGTGCATCTCGTACCTCTATAAATACCAATTCAAAGCAGGGAGAAGAGTTTGCAGTAAGCTACGACTACCTTATTATAGGTGTGGGAGCTCAGGTTAACACCTTCAATACTCCAGGTGTCGAGGGAAATTGTCATTTCTTAAAGGTGAACATTTTTTTTATTGAATTGTATTATGTTCAACTACTCACTCCTGGAGTTTTGTTTTTTTTCCTTCTAAAAATTTTACATCCCACTAGATGCCCCGTCTCTGTATACTTTGGGAAATTGATGCCTGCTTTTGGCAATGGTAAAACATGTCAATACGAACCATTTCCAGTCCCTTATACCCATATTTTTTTCTCTTTTCCTTTCATTGTTGAGCATCATGATTCGTCGAACAGGAAATTGAGGATGCTCAGAAGATTCGAAGGAATGTCATCGAGTCATTTGAGAAGGCAAGCCTACCAAACTTAACTGAGGAGGAGAGAAAGAAAATCCTTCACTTTGTAGTTGTTGGTGGTGGTCCTACAGGTGTGGAATTTTCTGGTGAACTTCATGATTTTGTCAATCAGGATGTGGTCAAACTATATCCAATGGTCCAACACTTGGTGAAAATAACAGTTATTGAGGCCACAGATCATGTTTTGAACATGTAAGAATGCGGATGTTTAAATTCCTCAGTTACGAATAACTAGTACTAAGTTGAGAAGCTTTAGGTTCTGGATTCTTTACATTCAAAGTTTGAGACATTATTGTTTTCAAATTTCAGGTTTGACAAAAGAATCACAAAGTTTGCTGAAAGCAAATTTCTAAGAGATGACATTGATGTGAAACTAGGCTCAATGGTTACAAAAATAAGTGAGAATGAAATTTCTACAAGAGCAAAAGGTAGTGACAAAACAACTTCTATGCCATATGGAATGGTTCTCTGGTCAACTGGAATTGGGCAACGTCCTCTCATAAGGGAATTTATGAAGCAAATTGGTCAGGTGAATTACCTTTGGACCTAGGAACTCATCTCATTAACTGTCTTTTCATTCATGCATGCAAATTAGTTTTCACCCTTCCAATTATATTCATTGAATGGGAACAGGGTAATAGGCGTGCTCTAGCGACTGACGAATGGCTGCGAGTCGAGGGGTGTGATAACATTTATGCACTTGGTGACTGTGCAACTATTAACCAACGGAAAGTCGTGGTAACTATTTGCTAAACTCTGCTATTCATTGTGAACTTTTGTTTACTGCAATTACTTAAACTTCTTCTTTTCCTTCTACAATCCAACACATTTAGGAAGATATAGCTGAAATAATTAAAAGGGCAGACAAAGACAACTCGGGAACACTAAAGGTGAAAGAATTTCGAGATATCATGAAGGATATTATTGCAAGATATCCTCAAGTGAAGCTCTATATGGAGAGCAAACGAGTGCGGGACTTTGTTGATATTTTGACCGAAGCCAAAGGAAATGCTGCAAAAGAAACCATTGAGCTGAGTATAGAAGAATTTAAATCTGCTCTTTCTGTAGCTGATTCTAAGATGAAGAATCTTCCTGCAACTGCGCAGGTAATCATTCTACTTTATTTACAGCGGAGTAGAGCTAATAAGTTATTTTTGTGACCACAACTAATTACACAACAACCCTTTGCCAATGATTCAGGTTGCAAATCAACAAGGTGCCTATCTTGCTAAGTGCTTCAACCGTATGGAAGAGTGTGAAAAGAATCCCGAAGGTCCGCCTAGGTTCAGGGGAACAGGTCGCCATCGTTTCCAGCCCTTTAGGTACAAACTGAACTTCTATCGCTGCTTCTTTCTTTCTTGGTGTTATCAAATTTATGGCTTTAATAATACATTTTCACATTTAATGCTTGTAATTTGATTCAAAAGCATACTATTAGCTTGTTCAGGAACATTTCTAGTGATGAGATCATTCAATCTTCCGTTCGACATACCTAGTGAATAGGGATGTGCATTTTTCGGTTAAAACCGAACTACTCTTACCATAAACACTGGTGGTCTTACAGGTACAGGCACTTGGGACAATTTGCTCCTTTGGGAGGAGAGAAAACAGCTGCACAACTTCCTGGTGATTGGGTCTCTATTGGACACAGCTCTCAGTGGCTCTGGTACTCTATCTATGCGAGGTACTAATCAGTTTCTACACCAACCATTTTCGCTTCCATAGGCCTGAAATTCATTTCTTGCTTAGAAATTGAATTGGTTAGCCAGAACGTATCATAAAAACTTAATTTTAGAGGCTATAAAAAGTCTAAATTTACTTCTTTCCTTTAAATCCAGCAAGCAAGTAAGCTGGCGCACAAGAGCATTGGTGGTCTCGGACTGGATCCGGCGTTTTATTTTTGGGAGAGATGCCAGTGGCATTTAAGGTAACTAACGGGTCTGTCGGTTTAGTATTTGGCGGTGTTGCTACATAAAACATAGTGGAATGAAGCAGAAAACATCGTTTTCTTCCTCACCCTTCCACCAGTTGATTTAATAATCATTGTTCCACTCCAGGGCTCTGGTCCCTTGGCAGTGTTTTTCCAAAACTTGGGAATTAATTGACTCAATCTTTACCTAGGGAAATAATGCAAGTTCTCTCTCGATCGTTTTACTAAGTAATGTACTTATCTGAATTTTTAGATATATCTTTTCCGAGCTTAGTCATTGTGTGTGCATGTTTTAGAATTTCTTAGCCGTTGAAGTAATGGGTATTAGAAAATCCGTGGAACCATCTGACATGTCATCTAAAATAATTCTTTTCAATGTTTATGAATCTTTTTAAAAAAAATTCTATCTTAAATATACCTTTACAAAACACACATCTTCGCACAAACTTTGAGTGCAACTTATAGTGACAAAAATTCAAACCTTAAGGACTTTTCAGTCTAGATTATGTATCATGGTTTGATTGGTCCGGATGTGAGATTATTGATGTACCATCAACTTTTGATCTCAAATATTGTCTCTCAGTTCCAAAGTGGTATTAGATTTAATGGCGGGGTTGAGATTATGAGATTTTGAGGTCTCAAAGTTTAAGATTTGTTGTGTGTATATATTTGTGCGTGTGTGGGTTCAGGACGATCTATATTATTCTAAGATTTAATCCGATTATATTTTAATGATTATTTTTTTGTTATGTATAAATTTGATTCTTATTTAGTATGTTGGAATGATATACTAAATTTTTTAAATAAGATTATATATTCGAATTTTGACGTTATGAATGGAGTAAATTGGATTGAGAGGATTACCCTCATAATGAGTCTCTGTGATGGATGAGTCTATCACATCCGACAAACACCGATAAACATCATTAACGATAAATATTACTAATTTAATTTATAAAATTTTAAAATTATAAAGTATTCAATGTATAATTATAAAATAGTTAAAAATTTAAACGTAAATTATTTAAAATAAAATATTAATTACATTATTTTAAATAATAATTAGATCAATATAAACCCCTTAACTAAAAAATTCTTTTTTTTTTTACTTTGAAATCGTCGCTGCTGCCCCTTTTCTCTGTCTGGTTCTGACATGGCCACACTTTCTTTTTGTTTTTCCTTTGGTTTATTGTTGTTGATGAACTTCTTTGCATGTTGTTGCCACTGTCGTGATTCCTGATTTGTTCTTTTCCTAGACATCATAAAATACCACCACTCTTCATGTTTCGTACGCATTTCTAGAAGTTGTTGCATACCTCGGTCTCTCGTCTGCTACAATCACTTTATCCTTTAAAGTTTACAGACCATAATTAGTTCAAAATTAAGTGAAAGAAGTTTTCCTTTAATTAAGTTAATCATGTAATTAATCCATGGTGGGAAACTCTGAACGTCAGATGCTGAGATGTAAAAGAAAATGGATCCTCTCTCCCACTGATGAAAATGACGAAAACAAAACAACTTTTAGGATTTTTTAATTTAAGGGTTAATATTTCACATCTGCTAACTCAGCAAGAAAGAGAGACAACATAGGAATGATCGATTCTCAAGAACCTAACTCCGTAAAAAACCATTGTATTCAAATCCTAACGAAAACATATCTAAATCTGTTGTTGCATCGAAGTTTGAAGCAATTAATAACCAAAACTATCCATAACAAATAAAAGCTAAAGAAAGAATTGGAATCATCATCATCAAAAGTCCTACAATCACGTTAAAATGTCGATAATTTTCCGGTTATTTTGTCCACCCAAAAACTGCCACGTGTATTCTCCCCACTCAAGTTGGCCTTTGCCATGTTTTTTCCTAGAGTACTAGTAAGTAGCAAGTCTTGCTACGAGAGGGAGAGGGAGAGGGAGAGGGAGAGGGAGAGGGAGAGAAGGTATAAAGATTGGACAATGATGTGATCCGTTTGAAGGAACAAAGGATGGCCTGCAAGAACGTGGGTTTTCTTAATCTTTGGGGGACATAAACGACTCACTGTCTTAATCCCATTCAAAATACATAATAGAAATATTGTAATTTTACGAATTTTTTAATTTATTTATATTAAATTTATTAACCAATTTATTTAAATAAGATATTATAAAATTTATTACGAGAACAGATCTTTTCTAACTTAGTTTACTATATTTCTTTTCTAACTTAGTTTACTATATTTATAGTATCATAATTTAAATCTGTAACTAATTAGACTAATTGATTATTAATAGCAGAAATGACTTATAAATCGGTATTAATATTTCGCACCTATATAAAAAGTTAGCGTTGAAATAAGTGACTTAAAATGTAAATTATCCACTAAATTAATACTGTAAATGAATATTATTTTTAATTTAAGATTTGAACCGTTTATGTGTGTATATTGTTAATAATTAAAAATGATTTTGAATAAATATTATTTTGTAATCATATTAAATTATTAAAAAAAGTGTTCAATATTTTTTTAATAATTAATACAATTAAATTAGTTTGCAAGAAAAAATAAAAACAAAATTATTAATACAAGTTTATTACAGAAACAAAATGACCTCAAACTCCAAAATAAAATAAAAGGGAAAATAGGAGGGGCACTTTGAGTCCAGCTAAACTTGGGTAAGCTAAGACAGAGTATTGAAGTCCAGCTAGCAGCTTAACACAAATTATTAAAATAATAAATGTTTTAATTATTTGGTGATTATCTTTAATCATTGAGATTCGTTTAACAATTAATTACTTCTCACGGATTTGATGCTTTAATTTCTATTAGCACAGCCGCCCACACCCATCGCCTCGTGCGATTCTAGAGGGCGTCACGTGCTCAATCACATGACTACCAGTTGTATTCTTTATTTGCGACTAATTAACCATTTTATTAATTTAATCATTCCATTCATTTCTTTTTTAAACTAGTTTGCTCCAATTATCATGAACCGGGGTAAAACCAAACCCGGTTCGACAATCAGGGTCATTAAAAAAAGAACCTTATTTTCCTTTTAGTATTACGAAAATACCATCCAATCGATACAAGCCTAGAACAAGTTGAGTGCATTTTTAAAATCTATGGTCTCAAACCGGTTCACAGTTCATCATATTTGCTGAACCGACTTACATCTTAAAGGCAAAAAAATTGAAAGCCAAACCGCAAAAGGCCCGGGAGTTTGTGTATTTTATATATTTGTTTTCCCATGTCCCCACTATTACCCTCACTTTTAAGGTCTAGTAGCGGTCACTTAGGGGGCTAATTTGGTAATTAATAACACCAGACGACGCTCTTCGAAGACAAAAGTGACAAGACCTGGAAAATGGTTAATGTCCTTTAGATGAGATGTATCTTCACAATAATACTACTAAAAATTTAGAAATTATTTAATAAAAACTTTTCATTACAAACTTATAGCACATTTTTATTTACGAACCCGATATCAAGCGTAAACTCTCTGGATGTCAAGCGGGGCAAGATCTATCGTATTTCCCCCAAAATCAATTGAGAAAATCCCTATTGTTCAACCCCCTCATGAAGTTTTGGAGGCTGGCTCAGCTGAATGGAAATCTTCCCTCATTGGTCAGATACTAGGTGATGCTCCAAACTTCAACCGTCTCCAAGGTATCATCGAGAACCTTTGGAACCAGCCTTCGAAAGGGGTTAGGGTTCAAGTAAGTCTCGCCGGAAATAACCTGTACGTTTTCAATTTCAACTCTGTTAATGCTCATGACTGGGTTCTGGAAAATGGCCCATGGCATGTTCTTAATGAGCCTTTAATTCTTAGAAAATGGGAACCAAACTTGCAGAAACTTGAGTTTGATTTATCTCGTCTGCCTATTTGGGTCAACTTGTTTAATGTTCCTTTAAAACTTTTCTCTAGAGAAGATTTGAGCTACATTGCTAGTGCCTTAGGAATACCATTGACTATTGACTCTTTTACAGCTAATAAAACTAGACTAAATTTTGCTAAAGTCTGTATAAAGGTTGGTGAAAAGGAATAAATTCCAGAAATAGTAGAAGTTATGCTTGCTAATGGCCTTTTCACTACTATTTACTTTGAAGTATCTTGGTACCCTCCTAGATGTGCTAAATGTAAAACCTTTGGACATTCAGAAAAAGGATGTAAAGCCAATCCTTCACTTGTTCCTCAAACCTCAAAAATATGAAGAAGAAAGATTATCTCAAATGAAATCTCTGTTTCTAAAACTACTATAGCATTAGAAGAACCGCCTAACACGCTTGAACCTTCCTCTTCTAGTGCTAATAATATTACTAATAAACTGGAAACAATAAAAGATTTAAACCCAATCCCTCCTTCCAATTTAGATCTGTCAAATAAGGGTGAGTCTTCTGAGTTTCAAACATCTGTTGGAAATACCAATGATCAAAATTCACCTCCCCGTGATGTTCCTGCTAAAGGTGAAAAACCAACCCTATCTCACATAGCAAATAACGAAGAAAATGGAACTCCTGCTCCTCCTAAACGAGGCAGAGGTAGACCGATTAAAATTAATGCTAAAACTGTATCGAGAGGCACAACAAACATATTTGATATCCTAAACACTATTGATGAGAGCTCTTCCTTAAACGAGGTTCAAATAAAAAAACAAAGACTTGCTGCTGCTGGAGTTGCAAAACTGATCAAGGAATTAAAATAAAAAAAGAAAGAGCAAATCTCCAAGTTCTCTAGTACCTCAGATTTAGTTTTAGAGGACCAAACCGTCCCCCTTCCACAATGATTATCTGCTTTTAGAATATCAGAGGATTTAACAATCCTCAAAAATAAAAAAAAGTCCTCAACAGAGATAGTGTAACATCCGCAATACCGGGTTAGTGATCAAATTGTAAAGTTTCAGAATTTGGTGACTAAAGTATAAGAATGAAATAGTTCAATGATTATTGGATATATATGATGAAGGTTATTTAGTAATTATTAAAGAAAATAAAGGGCAAAAGGGTCAATTGACCAAGAAATGAATTAAAAATGGGATTGGTAAGGATAAATGCACGTGGAAAGGGAGAGAATTCTCCAGAGTTCTCTTCTCCTTTCTTCTTCTTCTTCACGTGGAGGCCAAGAGCCAAAGGTAAGTTTCTTTGTTTATAATTGAATTGTTGATTTTAAG